ACACCTTTATCCACTGTGCCATGTGTCCTTGAGGACATTGGTGTATGAATTTCTGGGTATTAGGTTTAGAAATTAGACATGGCACATGGAACTAGAACAGTCTACCGCATTGAGCGAAATAAAGGGTTCAGTTTGACATTCCAACTGAATGTTGTTAGCTTGCCAGTGGTCTAGCACACAAGTAAGCAAGTGTAGCCAAAGCTAATCCCTCTTGAGTCATTTCATAGAGAAATATATGGGTGAATAAAGACCACTCATGCAAATGTATTGGGCAGGTCCATTCTAGCCAAATGGACCAACCTAACTGGTGTATTAGGCACTCTCCTATAAAATGAGGTAAAATCAGCTGGCTTGCTTTACAAGGAAACAGAAGAAGGCAGCCATGTTGGCAGGTAAGTCACTTGACTTCTACACCAACCACCTGAAGAAGGCCAGAGTATACAACAGCCAAAACGTTGTAATGAATATGGCGACAAAGATGAGGACAATAGTCTGAATAATGTAAATAGTGTACATAATATCTCATCTCATGAATATAGACAGATTCCTGAACAAGATTTTGATGAGCTGTGAAATAACAAACGACGTAAACTGCAAATAAACAACTGACAACTGGATCTCCTAAGTTGTTGCCTTTCATACTGAAAAATGCCGCATCAAAGGATTACACATAGCAAAACAGGATTTACGAGAGATAACAAAATAAATTTAGCAAGAGCTACAAAGAATAGGAAATTGTGGAGAGCCATGATTATCAACATCCTGAAGGGCAACAGCACATAGAATAAGAAAGTAATTGATCTTCATTTTTTTCCAATTATAATCCATTGACTAGAATAAACTTTCTAATATTTTTAATTTCCTTTGTTTTTAAAAAATTCAAATAAAATATTATTAAAATATAATTAAAATAATATATAAATATATAATATAAATAATATATAAAAATATAATTAAAATTAAATATAATTATAATAAAATTATATTATTAAAATCTTTATTGTCATGCTTCACTGCATATCCCACTAATGTCTTTTCAGATAAGTAAATATTGATTTGAACCTTACTTGTAAATGAAATATGTATTGTCATGTCACAAATCCCCAAACCCATTAGGGTCAAATGGGCACCATGTGTACTGCAACCATAACAGCAGTGATGTGTCTAGGACAAGATAGTGCTCCTCCTTCAGGCTACTTTTGAATTCAGTTTTCCTTGTCCTAGACTGGTGGTTATGTCAAGACAAGAGGGTAGAGTGAAGTGATGCTTTCACACCCTCTTCCACGGGCACCTGTGTGAAAACGAATGCAACAAATTCATCCGCAATTCAAACCCAACTCACCAATTTCTCCTTCCAAGCTACTAACTGAAATCGTTGCAGTAATATATATATATATATACACACACACACACACACACACACAAAAGTGTTGTGATGTGATAAAAGTGCTGTGATGTGTGTTTATTTTTTTTTCACCTGTCACAAAAAACTTTGCTCACATCACTACACTCACCAGTTCTATGAAACTCACCATTTGTGTCTACCTACCCTGATGATGACTTGAGAAAGTCAAAAACTTGGACCGTATTTCTTTCAAAGGGAGCTCTGAACAATTTCTGATTAAATATCCTCCTTATTTGAGTAGTATTATTCATAATTTGGAAACATCGATCAATAAAATTAATCAACAAAAATCATCTGTTGTCTTTAATAACATTTTGCCTTAAAGAACATTTGGTGCCTAAATACACACACATCTTTTGAGAAAAGCTGTTCTAGCTACTGACACACACACACATATATATATATATATTAGGACCTTGAATAAGTTCTTGCTGAATTTTCATGTAAAGTAATATTTTATTTACAAAAATTAATAAGAAACATATCACTGAAAGTATTGTCCATCAGTAGCCACTACTTTTTCCCATCATTCTGGTAGCATTTGAATTCTATGTTGGAAAAATGACACATCTTTTGAGGCTAACTACCAGTAGAACCATTTTTTGGCATCTTTGTAAGAATGAAAGTGCTGCTCAGCCAGGCCATGTGCCATCAATCGGAACAAGTGATAATTGGACAGGGCAATGGCTGGTGAATACTGCAGATGGGCTAGGACTTTCCATTTAAGTGTTTCCAGGTAAGTTTTCACACATTTTGCAACGTGGCCTAGTGTTGTCATGTTGCAAAATTGCTTTGTCATGTCTCTGCTCGTATAGCAGCTGTTTTTTTCTTCAATGCTCAGTTCAAACACATCAATTGTAGTTGATAGTGATCTCCCGTGATGGTTCCAGTCAGTTTGAGCAGCTCATAATAAACTATGCTCAGCTGATCCCACCAAATGCAGAGCAGAAGTTTCGAACCATGGATATTTGGCATTGTCACTGATGTTGATGGATGGCTGGACTTATCCCACAATTTTCTATGCTTAGGGTTATCGTAGTGTATCCACTTTTCATCGCCAGTCATGATATGATGCAAAAAACCCTTCCTTTTGTGCTGTTGAAGCAGCTGTTCACATGTGACAAAACACCATTTGATGTCTCTCGGCTTCAACTCATATGGCACCCAATGTCCTTGCTTTTGAATCATTCCTAATGCTTTCAAACATTTCAAAACTTGTGATTAACTCTTATTGATTCTGCTAGTTCAGCTTGCACCTGACATGAGTCTTCATGAACTAATGCCTTCAATTCTTCTTCTCAAACCTTTTTTTTAGTGCACCAGAGTGTTCTTTATCTTCAAAATCCAGATCATTACTTTTGAAGCATCTAACCCAATCTCTGCATGTTGTCTCTGACAGAGCATGGTCACCATAAGTTTCAACAAGAATTCTGTGTGCTTCAGCAGCAGATTTCTTTTGAATAAATTAGTGCAATAAAATTCCCTGCAAATACACTTTCTTTAGCATGAAATCCAACATGTTTAACAGTATGAGAAACAAAGTTGTTTACACTTCAGCGAAATGACATACACTGAATTTCAAGCTTGCTTTTAGTACTTTCTTATAGACATGTTGCCAGCTGAAACTACACACATGCAGTTCTGGGAATGACATCTGCTGGAAAACAGTGATAACTTATTCAAGGTCCTTATATATATATATATATATATATATATATATATATATATATATATATATATATATAAGGACCTTGAATATATATATAAGGACCTTTAATAAGTTATATAATATATATATATATTATATATATCAGTATCTAGAAGAACATTTTGCAAAATAGTAACCAAACCAGGTTTCTTCTGTTTTGAAGGGAGTGACTATTGTGATAGGTAATATCTGTTATTTTCTCTTCCATAATTAGCATGTGCCACACTTGGCTGGTCATGTGACTCTTAATGTCCACTCAATAACACCCTAGTTTGGACAGTAAATAGTTTGGGGATAGACACAATAAGGAGAAGATGCTTCCTGGACACATGGGAGAAACGTCACTGCCAATTGTCCCCTACTCATTTTTCCATCTCTCCTCACCTCCATTAGTATCGTTGTCCTGGTTAATTAAGCCCAACCATGGGTTTATCTTTCTTTGCTTTTTTTTTTCTCCTGTGAGGACAGGCATTATACATGGGTTATCCAACACCCCACCTATAATGTGGTAAGTTAGGGAGTGTTAAGCTTTCTTTCATTTGTGTTCTAGTCATCTGAAGTTTATGAGAGTTTGAAATTTGAGTAATGACTAAAGCTGTCCTCTAATTTACTTTAATTTACTGAGTAGGTAGGTGTTTACTTTTGGCCTTTTGTTTTTCTTTCCCTGTTCAGGATTTTGTGTCATCTATGTATTAGATGGTCTGGCAAGATTTCTGTTGGTCACCCCAACATTGCTGGGGTTTTTATTAGTATACTAGCAAGAGAGCCCGGCGTTGCCCAGGGATGTAACAGTAAGAGATAGATCAAGTATCAACCATCATAAAGACTGAAAAATAAAATTGACAAAGATTATTGTTTAAGGTTGACGGACACACATGTCTTAATTAGTTTTATTTTTGTTTTGTTTTTTTACGAATTGGTCAAACCCAAACAAAAACATTGTTTTCAATCGTTATGAGTCTATCGATTGAATAGAATTTTATTATAAACAATTGTCTTGTAAATGGAATTTTTAAAGCATTCTGAATGTAAAAATAAAGAAAAAAAAGTGTGCAAGACAATAAGAAACACTACCTGCCAAAAAAAAAAGTGAAGTTTTGTTGAAATCGGTTGAAAAATGTAGGAAATCTGATCCCATATATAGATGAACACATACTCACAAACCTGGGTTTTATAATAAGTATAACTCGATATGAGTTGTCCCCTTTCATTCTGGCGACAGAATTGTGTTTTCAAATTGATTTCGTGCAAAAACAATTGTGTTTTTCCAGTTTTTGGAGCTGTCAGAACCACCGCAAGGTAATTTTACGTAGTCCTGTGAAGTTTTGTTGAAATCGGTTGCAAAATGTAGGAAATCCGATCCAATATATAAACGTACAGACACACACACACAATCTGCGTTTTATAATAAGTAAGATACAGGGTGTTTGAGCAAAATTTGACAGATATTAACAGTGAATAGCATTGTAAAACCTAGTCACTATAGTTTGAGAGGTGTCAAAGTTAACTGACATGGACGAGTGGAATCCACCTGAATATCGAAAAAGGGTAACCTGTATCATGATGATTCATTTTGGGCATCAAAATGCTGCAACAATGACAGCTACTCAATGCTCTTTGAACACTGTGAAAACAATAAGATGTGAAATAAAGAGCTGAAACAGAGACTATGAGGCCATGGCTTGTAGGAAAGAACAGAGGATGTTTTCATTGCTGCCATACACCAGAATTCATCCAAAAACTGCAGGAGAAAGTGATGGAAGATCCAGGCAAGGGAATGGGGGCTTTGGCATGGGAAATGGTTGTTGCCATTTCCATCATGAAGCTTGCCTTGAATGAGGACCTCCACTCCCAGTCATACAAATGGTGTAAAGGCTGACTTCTTACAGAAAAGGTCTGAGGAAATGGTCTGACAAGGAACAATCTGGTTCTTCTCTAATGAAAAGAATTTTTGCCAGGAACAGCTGCACAATACCCAGAACACCAGATGGCTTGCCTACAATCCATATAAAAAAAAATCCGACAAATTTAGCCCAAACAACACACACACACATATATATATATACACACACACATACATACATACTCACACATCATGCAAATATAAAATTAGCATATGTATTGCTGGCCCTGGCTACGCCATTGTCCAAAGTATATATCCATTTACTGTAGTCAAATTAACTTCAAAATTAAGTTTTCAAAGTTTGCATGATATGTGAGTATATGAGCAACATTTTCAGTAAATTATATTTTTATTTATTTTAATAAAGATGAAAATGTGACTTAAAAACAAAAAGGCTTTAGTTTATGGAATAGGTGCTGTGGAGATTCAAATGTGTCAAAAGTGGTTTGCAAAGTTTCATGTTGGAGATTTCTGACTGACAGATACCCAATGTTTGTGTTAGACAGTTTATGTTTCATAGAAATTTAATTGAAAAAATTAACTCAACATTTGCTTGGTTTATTATGGAAAAACAGAAGCCAGAGTCTCGTCTTCTACTTTAACTTTATTGAACAATTTTTCACCATTGTCATCCATTATGCAAATCATTGAAAGATGAAACAAGTCACAAAGCTCAAGCTTATTTAGCATCGTTTATTCTTATGACATAAAATATTGGAGAAAGTACCTAAAGTGATCAGCAAAATATGCAAAACGTGGTCCAAAACCCTCATGCAAATCTGACTGCATGAAACTATTATCAAACCATATAATAACTATCAATGTGTATTTATATATTTCCTGTCCCATCTGTAGTGGGAAAGAGATAAATCAAAGGTTTCTGAGTGATTATTTACCATAGTCGTTTTAGTAATCTATACATTTCCTAAGCAAAATAAATCAATCAGTTTGTCTCATAACTATGTTTCCTAAATTGTAGTCTTATTTATTCAAGACTTTCATGTGAAGCACTTGGATATCTTTGTCTATTAAGTGACCATCTTGCTTCAACTGGATCTTGAAATAAGTTTTGTCATCGCCATCTTTGTCATTCTGTTCCCAATCATTTTCTTCTGAGATATTTCCATTTCAGTTATATTAAACACATCAAATTTTAACATGAAAAGATACTAAGCAAATGTGATTTATATAATACCAGAAATAATAAACCATAGATACCATTGAATTTTTTTTTTTAAATATAAAGGGAATGGATTAATTAAATGAATCATTGGTATCTATTTTTGTGAATTCTTTATTGAATTGTAATACATTGTTTGAAGACTTTGTTTCATTTCATCTGTTAAAACTTTTTAATAATTGCCATAATTTTTGACAGCATGGGTACACTAGTTTAAAATAAAATTAAATATCAGTAAAAATAAATGAAATGGCAAATTCATGTACTTTAAAAATACTGTCTCCGTACTCTATGGAAGCAGAAAAGTACTAAAAATAAGAACTAGACAATATGTCCTTAGACATGGGCAGTGGAATGAGAAAAATCTACTTCTGTAGATTAAATAAAGGGTTCAGTTCAGATAGAAACCTGATAAAAGGCTGGACAGCACAACAGCCAAAATGTTGTAATAAGAGCAACAAAGTATCTGAATGTAAGTAGTGCAAAAGAAATAGAAATTTATCAAAGGAAGTTCAAATGATGACAGAAACCTTTTGCAATATTTATGCTTCCTGCGTACCATATATTTGGCTACAATATTAAATTGCTGAAATTTTCAAAATTAAATAGTTTTGATTGAAATTTAACTTGGAACTCAATTGCTTGATTCTGAAGTTCTGGCCAAAAATACTGTGATAAAATGCAAGATGATCAAATTTATCAAAATAACTGAAATGGAAAATACATACACTTTAATAATACTGTCATTATTTTTCTTTATAAAAATAATATCTTTGTGGCAAATTTGCATGAAAATAACTTTTAGTGTTAAAATGAATGTCAAATATGCCACACATTAACAAAATTATGACTGAGCCCTTATGGGAGACTCCAAAGAATGCTATTCCTTTTTTTCATGAGGATTCTTTTCGAAGGAAAATTTACACACTTCATAACAATGTTTGCTGACATTCTTTAAAACATCAAACATTTTAAAATCTGGAGACATAATTTATTCAAATAATGGTTCTTTTCTTCTTGAGCATATATTTATATATGTTTTTAAATTTGCATCATGAAATTCCAATCTGCTGAGTTAATAAGTTCTCATTTCAGTCTGTGTAAAAATGTCCTTCAAAATTTGAAGTTATGATACTGACCTATTCACTTGAAACATGTGGAACATTAAGTGAGTGGTTTCCAAGTGGAATTTTAAATATCTAGGAAAATGTCAGTTTAGAATTCTTAAAATAGTTTCTCTTCCATGTGACTCAAAAAACATGACAAGTATGTTTTTCTCTCATGAGTATTTGTACTTATTTTTTAAAGGGAATTCTCAGAAAATGCCTTTTCTGCTGTATGTATTTTCATGTGGCTTTTTAAACCTGAGACCTGTGTAAAAGCTGATCCACAAATTTGACAAGAATATGGTTTCTCCCCAGTGTGTATTCGAATATGTGTTTTTAAATTGGAACTCACTGAAAATGCTGCATCACACACAGGACAAGAAAATGGTTTCTCTCCTGTGTGTATCCGTATGTGGCTTTTTAAACTAGAGTGTTGAGAAAATGTTGCTCCACACACTTCACAAGAAAATGTTTTATTACATATGTGTAATTGCACATGCCTTTTTAAATTGAAACGCTCAGAAAATGCTGCACCACATATTTGACAAGAAAATTCTTCACAACCAGTGTGTGTTTGCATGTGCTTTTTTAATGTCGAACTCCTTGAGAAGGCTGATCCACACACCTGACAAGAAAATGGTTTCTCTCCTGTGTGTATACGCATGTGGCTTTTTAAATGAGACCTTTGTGAAAATGCTGAACTGCACAGTTCACATGAAAATGGTTTCTCTCCCGTGTGTATTCGCATGTGTTTTTTTAAACTGGAAACCACTGAAAATGCTGAGTCACACACTTCACAAGAAAATGGTTTCTCTCCAGTGTGAATGCGCATATGGCTTCTTAAGCTGGAGCTCTGTGAAAATGCTGACCCACATACTTGACATGGAAATGGTTTTTCACCTGTGTGTATTCGCATATGTTGTTTTAAACTAAATTTATCAGATAATGCTGATCCACACACTTGACATTTGTGGTGTTTCTCTCCTGTATGCATTCGTAAATGCATTTGCAAATAGGACCTTTTCAAAAAAACTGAATCACACACTTTACAAGAAAATGGTTTCTCTCCCGTGTGTATTTGTAAATGAGTCTTTAAAATTAATTCCTGTGCAAATGCTAATCCACATAGCTGACAAGAAAATGTTTTTTCTCCTGTGTGTATTTGCATGTGGCTTTTCAAACAGGAACTATCTGAAAATTCTGATTCACATATTTTACAAGAAAATGGTTTCTCTCTAGTGTGTGTCTGCAAGTGTCTTTTCAAATGTGAATTACATGAAAATGCTGATCCACATATTTCACAAGAATAGAGTTTCTCTTCAGAGTCTTTCTGCATGTCTCTTTTCAAATTTAAAGTTTGTGGAAAGCTGGTCTGTTCCCTTGATGTTTAAACTTAAGCATGGATTTAGTAGAATTGTTGGTGCATAGCTTTCATTGTCTTTTGCTTTTGTTATGGTCTATTTAACAATGAATGCTGTCAAAACACAAAGCAACCCATTAATTAAAAATGTTATTTTTTCTTTTTTTAATCTGAGTTCATATGTGTCCTTACACATTTGAATATGGTTGATTTCCCCTAGAAGTGATATCTGTGAATGAAGAAAAAGTATTATTAAACAAAAACAGGAAACTCATGCATTATTTGCAATTATAAAATTCAAATAGTTCTTAGTCTTTTATTGAACAGTAAAATATAATTCATGTTTGGCTAAAAATACAGTTTTTGTACTACTACACAACAAATTAAATAAAATTTAGAAAGTTAAATTTTCCCTTTCACACTAGTTTTATTTATTGGAAGCAGAAGTACAATCCATAAGAAATTCGTTTACATTTTAACATGCAACCAAGAAAGTGCAATTATATTAAAAATTTTATTATACAGTGTGCAGCAGATATACCTCTCCCCCTCACATTTTAAACTGTCACCTGTGTGGTGATAGTGAACTTAGGCAAGTGACAATGGCATCTTCATCTAGCTAATGTTTCAGGTACCATAATGGCTTGTACTGTAAATTGAAACATTTTTCTAAGACTGGTGAATCTGTAATTGCAACACAGAGAGCTTTTTGTGCTCGTTTCATGTTACGTTAGAATGATACTGTTCTGGATAGAAGATCAATACTGCTATGGGCTGAAATTTCAGTGCTTAAATGAAAGCCACCTAGAAGACCTGAAACATCTGAATGATGGAAAACTTCAGAAGTTGTCTATTAGAGGTCACCATTTAGAGGATGCCATTTTTAAAACTACATGCATAAAAACTGTAGCACTTTGTTCAAACAGTGAAATAACTTTTTTAATAGCAGTTTACCTTGGTCTTTTTGTCAACTACACCCTGAATTAAAAGAAAACTGAGTGAAATAGGTAAGACAACATATAGCGTTTACAATTTATGCACAATGAAATCTAATGGATGCATTATAAAAAAAAATGAATTTTTTTACTTATATCATTGTAATGTATAATCACATAAAACCAAAATATTTTATCTTATGTTTTTTTTTTTAAAATTTCTAAAACAAAACATTTGCGGTACATTGCATAGTTTCATTGCTATATATAAGGCAACAACCATGTTGTATAAGGTTGTGCTCATTTACTGTCACCACTGTAATAAATCTATTGAAATGACAGCAAAGTTACTTTATAATTTTCAATTTTATTATGACAACCTACTATGTCTGTCTATATTTCCGAAATGAGATATTGTAATTATTTATAGTATTTACATTGCCTTCTTCAGATGATTGAAATTTCAAACCATTCACTGGGGTAGATTATTCTAATTCAACATGCCATGCCACCTCAGGATATTTCAGTTTCAGTTATTTCCCTTTAATTCAACTCTCCGACTTATTTGTTTGCATGTACACAAGGGTGAATCACCTCTGCTGTTGGGAGTTGGGAGTTCAATACCTGATCACAGTAGAGTTGAACAAATAACTCAGAGAGTTGAATTAAAGGGAAATAACTGAAACTGAAATATCCTGAAGAGGCATGGCATGTTGAATTAGAACAATCTATCCCAGTCGACAAAATAAAGGGTTCTGTTTGAAATTCCAATCACCTGAAGGCCAGAATGTACAACAGCGGAAATGTCATGAATATGACAAAAAAGATGAGGACAATAGTCCGAACAATATAAATACTGTAAATAACCTACATTCTAATAATAAAATTGTATTACTCTGCCCACTGGATACATTGTGGGCTATTATAAATACTTCTGAAAATCAGTCAAGCATCATTTTTACTTATATGAAATTTTATATATTATTAAATATGGAACAACTTGTTTATATTATTTACATGTGGACTATTGTCCTCATCTTTGTTGTTGTTGTCAAAATGTTTTGGGCATTGTACTCTCCAGCCTTCATCAGGTGTATGTCAATCTAGGTAACCTACAGGGAATTTCAAACTGAACATCTTATTTAATGTATTGTTCGCATTCTACTGTCCATGCCTCTTATTTAATGTATTGTTCGCATTCTACTGTCCATGCCTCTTATTTAATGTATTGGTCGCATTCTACTGTCCATGCCTCTTATTTAATGTATTGTTCGCATTCTACTGTCCATGCCTCTTATTTAATGTATTGGTCGCATTCTACTGTCCATGCCTCTTATTTAATGTATTGGTCGCATTCTACTGTCCATGCCTCTTATTTAATGTATTGGTTGCATTCTACTGTCCATGCCTAGGGATATCTTATCTGGTTCTTATTCAGTACTAGCAGCAGAGCCCGGCGTTGCCCGGGGATGTAACAGTAAGAGATAGATCAAGTATCAACCATCATAAAGACTGAAAAATAAAATTGACAAAGATTATTGTTTAAGGTTGACGGACACACATGTCTTAATTAGTTTTTTTTTTTTTTTAATTTTTTTTACGAATTGGTCAAACCCAAACTCAAACAAAAACATTGTTTACAATCGTTATGAGTCTATCGATTGGTGAATAGAATTTTATTATAAACAATTGTCTTGTAAATGGAATTTTTAAAGCATTCTGAATGTAAATAAAGAAAAAAGTGTGCAAGACAATAAGAAATACTACCTGCCAAAAAAAAAAGTGGATGTTTGTTTTATCGGCTGAAAAATGTAAGAAATCCGATCCCATATATAAAGGAACACACACAAACAACCTCGGTTTTTTAACCTAAGTCACTCCACGGAATCGCTAAAACATAGAGCATAGTCTGATGAAAAAGACGCTAAAGTTTATGAAAACAAAATTTTATCGTCAAAATGCTTGTGTTTTTATGAAGAGGATAGACTAAATTTTTTTTTTAATTATTTTAAAAAATTTTCCATCTTTTAGAATATTCTAAATTTTGATTTAAAAAACCTTGTTTCTCTTTTTGTCGCAACAAAGGGTAGTAAATAACATAGATAATTTTTAGCGCGTTTTTTGTATTTACACACATTAATTTGGAAAATCTTGCAAAAATAAAAATAATTGTCAGATGTTAATGAAACTTTTCAGAAACTATTCACAGATGATCGAAATTATTATAAATATGTTTTTTTTTTTATTAAGGTCATGGCAGAAATATTTTTTTTATATTTATTAACACTCCCATAACTAATTTTATGAAAAACTCTAGAAATTCGAGACCATCGGTTTTAGTGATTACAATAGTTAAAAGCACAAGGCTTTGAAGAATGCAAATCATGTATTTTTTTTTGGTTTTTTTTGGCCAACGTATCTGAAAATCAGCTGTGAATTGTAACATACAAAACTCAATAAAACAAATATATTATTTAGTTTCATTTGTTTTAATTTGTTTTTATGAATATGGACAATATTTTCTGGAAGCAAAAAATTTTTTCAATGAAAATTGAATTTTTAATACAATTATTTCTTATTTCTTTTTAATTTTAAAAAGATTTTTAAAAAATGTTTAAATTGAATTTTAAAAAATATTTTAACATTAGTTAAATGCAACATCAACCTTTCAAAATGTCCGTGTGAGATTGTCATTGTCTAGCGCTTTGAAAATTGTATAATTTGGACCAATCAGATTAGCCATGGTAATTAAGAAATGTAATTTTTGTGTTTATAGTTGGATAGTAATTATCAAGTACGGAAGACCAACCAGAATACAATTTAGTTGCATTATTTGAGTTCAGCATTGTTCTCCGCTGTTAAGCCCTTTACTTTTGCGAAACACGTATGGAGAAGTTAATTTGAGTTTTCAATTTCAACTGAGAAGGGTACCTACAAATATTAGTATCATCTTATGAAATTTATATGATCTTATTTTTATATTAATCTCAATTATGAAATTTTTCCATCAATGAAATATCAAAATGAATGGAAATACAAATAACACAGTAAAATGTAATAAATGTACTTAAAATTATAGTATTTTATATACACTTGATAAAATTCCATAAGAAAAGTACCTATAAATTAATTAGATACTGTTCTTATGAAATTTAACCTCACTCTCAACAGTCTTATTTTACTTTCTTTATAATATATTTTCCATAAAGCATCGTAAACGTAAAGGTGAAAGCTAAGTACAAAAAAAAAAAATCAGAGCGCTGAAAGTTTTCCTTAAAAATAACAAATAATTTGTTCACTCAAATCTAAATAATTATTTCACTTCTGTTGTTCTGTACGATAACTTTTCCTCACATAAGCTGTCAATATGTAATGAAATCATCACTCATCACCTGTCAAGTGACACAAAATGTTATGACCTGCTTTGTTTTATTTTTAAACTACTTCTTTTCAGTGCACAAACTAAATAATGCTTGTTTCAAAATATTTTAAGATTATAATTTCTAATTTTAAGTTTTTAAAAAATTATAAATGATTTTTAAAAGAATTTGAAACAGATTTTCATTTTTTTTTTAATAAAATGGAAAAAATGGTTGACATGATTAATTTTGCAATTTTGCTAACTCAAAAAAAAATAAGATTTGTAACAAAAATTTTGGACGTGCTAGGAACGATTAAAAAATGTAAAAAAAATACCCCAGAAATATTTTGATCTTTCCTCTTAAAAATAACATAAACATTTAGACGATAAAATTTTGTTTTCATCAAGTTTGGTGTTTTTTTTTTTTCATCATGCTATGCTCTTTTTTTTAGTGATCTCATGGAGGTACCTATTAAAACACATTTATTCTCGTTATAAAATAATACAGTGATTAACATAGTCATTCAATTGAACCATATTTGGATTATAGAATAATTAGTAAAACAACCAAATTTTGTTGTTTTTAATCAAAATATGCTTCTTTAATGTTAAGGACTATAATTGACATAACACTGATTCATGTCTAGCATCGAGTAATTTTTTGTGCACTAAAAACTTCATAGAAAAAAAAAAAACGAGCTGATGAAAACCACTCTGAGATTTGAAATAATTTATTGTATGATTTTGTAGTTTAGTTCAAAAAAATAAAAGTAAAACTAAAAGAAAGATGAAGTAAAAAAAAAAAAAAAAATTTGCAGGTGCTTTTTAGTTTTACGTTCAATTGAATGAAAGTGAAATGGTAAATTTTCATTTCAACACCCGAGCGCTAATATCCCTTCAAATTTTTCCAAAATAGTCTTATTTTCGTGCAAATGTATATGCTGAACTCAAATCAACAATTAGATATTGAAGAAACCTACCTTTTGGGATGTTAACGACCCTAAAAAAATCGGTCTTTTTCCTGGTCTTTTGTTAGCCATTACCAGCTTATTGATAAGTAATTCACTGCTGAATTTTGTTGGTGGACGTATACAATTTGGGCCTATTTACTTCCTTCACAGTAATTTCTTGGAGAAATTAGTACGCGATTTTTTTTTTTTTTTTACTTAATTTAAGAAGAAAGTTAACTTTCAAATATATGTAAACATCAACAAATAAAGGAATAACAAAATTTTTTTTTTATTTTTTAAGAAGAAAGTTAACTTTTAAATTAGAGTTAGGTGTTTTTTTTCTTTTGTTATTCTTTTATTTGTCGATGTTTACATATATTTGAATCTTTCTTTTTAAAGTAAGTACAAAAAAAAAATCGCTTTACGAAAATAGTTCAGCAGTGACTGACGCTCGGGTGTTAAAATGAAAATTTACCGGTGAAATATTTTTAATTAATGTGTAAATTCCTTGTGCGTAAAAAACAAAAAAACCCAGTCATTCAGAGCTGGTTTGACTTGAAGGCACGCTACAAAACAAATCTTTGTGGCTTCTCATTTTCAGCATGAATGCGACTATCCAAGCAGACCCATTTGTTTTTCTTTAGCACCCACAGTCAATCTGTGGTTTACTGCAAACATTGCTAAGCGGACGTTAATTACAGCTCAAGCAATTCTGAAAATAACAATTTTTTAAATAATCTGTATATAAAAAAGAAATTTATACTTACTGCTTTCTTTTGCTTTAAGATTAGATTTCCCTACACCAATGCAGTATTTCAGTATTTGAGAAAATGAAGAAATCATAAAAGAGTTAAATTAAATTTGAAAAAACTACCGTCATTTACGATTGATGAAATGAAATATGATGACGCAGGAGAGTAAATCGAAGGGAGATAATTAAGAAAAGCCAATGAAGAGAAAAATAACTTCATTTTATTTTTTAATGAATTTTTTTTCCAATAAAATTAAAATTTCCCTGAATAGAATCAAATCATGGATCTTTTCTGTCAATTTACCCAAAGAAATTCTAAATCAAATTTTGTTTTTTTAATAAAATTTTTGGCACTCTTTTGAAATTATAAATTTTAAATCAAAGTTCGTCTGTTTTTTTTTATGAAATTTTTCAGATACTCCTCTTTTTAGTCTTTTGAAATTATAAATTTTAAATAAAAATTTGTTAACCTTGCTTCGCAACAACTCCAACCTTCAAAACTTAAAAATTACTAAAAATCAGGGAGTTGTTCACATTTCGTAACTGCAGATGATATTGATGGTACTTACAAGTAATTTTTAAAATTCAAAAAAAAAAAAAAAAAAAAAATCTGTTTAGTCTTGGCGTGAACGTAGACATCACACTTAGAAATAACGCACCAGAGTCATCTATATTTGTGGCGATCACAAAGGTGAACTGTGAACGTGAAAAAATTTTCTATCTTATATATGCTGATTGATTTCTTTTCCGTTGGAACGAAACTTCCCCTTATATAGAGTCGGGAGGGTTAGTAAAAAAATTAGGAAAAATAACGGTTGCATATTTGCATACGTGATTTTTTTTTTTTTCGGCCAATATTTCACGTTGACGGGAATTTCTTGCCAACTTGAAGGCTGGCTTGGTTTATGTTTTCGCTTTTCGACAGGGGTACAGCATGGATTATTTTTTTCTTTCTTGGCTCATGTGTAGTTCAGAGAAGAAACATTACCAAAGACTTTTTTGTAACAAAAACCTTTTTCTTCCAACTCAGCACAAACCTTGAAGAAATATTACTATTATATATGTTGGTTCATTTACTTTTGTGATCATGGTCTTCCATTTTTTTTCTTTTTTGTAATTCATTTCATCTTTCAAGTGTATTAGGTCTTTCCTTGGAGGTTGAATTACTGTTGTAGCATTTTCAACAATATAGATTTTTTTGTCTCTCTGAAAAGCTTTCAATAACTTGAAATCTGTCATGTTATTCACTTGCAAGGTGGTCTATGATTTGCAGTTGTTTTTTTGTTTTTTTTCATTGCTGTTATATCATACTACACATTTAATTTGCACCAAGCCCAAATTTACACATGGTCTTGTTATGGTGCTGTGTGTTATTTGGCCTGTGTATAACTTTTGTATAATAAATGATTCAAGACAACAACGAAACTCCAAATGTGAATCAACAAGTATATATTGAAATAACATACATGAATGAAATATACAATAATATTGTGTGCAATGTATAGATTAAGGGAAAAGAAGTTGCTTCCCTTTTAACGTATTTTGATTTGTATTTGATTGTTCGAAAGAAAGTTCTCGTGAGAGAAAAATATTCAGGAATCAATATTAGGACAAAGGACTGTTTGTTAGAATAGATAACACAAGAATACAATTGATCCGAAAGTGTGTTGTGTCAGAGAAATTAACAGAGTCCTGGTTGATTGAACTTTTCTAAGTCACAGAGAGATATGTATAGATGTATTAGAAAATTCTGTGTCTGTGTGTGCGTTTGAAATGTTGTGAGTAAAGTCATAGGTTTGTGTTGACACGCAAAATTTGCTGGACTCTACTGGCGACTTGTGAAAAAGTCGGTAAGAGTTGTTGGCAATGTTCTTTAACCCCTGACCGCACGGTTAAGACGGGAGCTCTTGAAGACTACATCTTGGCAGCCAGGAAAAAGATGGATGAAGAGATTGAGAGAGGCTTATTCGTGTTTTGTTTATATAAGGTTGTGTCTCACGTGACAGGCTCCCAGCCTTGTGCGCGGGAAAATTATTCCTCGCGTGCAGGCGATTTGATTGGTCGGAATTGACCAATCAGCGAGCTAGTTTTGAGGAGATTAGCCAATGAATGCTTGCCGTATGATCTGTATGTATGCATGTATGTGTGATGGTGATCGCTACAGTCTTATGCCTGATATTGTTGTGTTATTTTCACACACAGAATATTTGGTTTGGATGGTTGCTTAGTTTTTGTGTCTAATGTTGAAGATTATTGAACCGTATTGTGGAATTTTGCTACTATTTACTGCCGATAAGGTAGTTTGCTCCATTTTTACACTTATAGGTCTGTCAGTATTTTTGTCAATGTCCTGGGGGTACATTTTTTGTATATTCTTAATGTTATTATATTACCGTCGGCCCCAGTGTCCATTTTCATTTTGTTTCCTTCCATATATGTCTTCACAGTCTATGTTGGCATGCACTTCTGCACTGTTAATGCTGTTAAGTATTTCGTCTCTGTTTTTCATATAGGTTGTCTTACTGGTCTTGTTTATCTTCTGTTTTATGTGTGGTATTCACATTTCTTTTTTCTGTATGACTTCCTATTGTTGGAATTTAGTTTGAGAACAATATTTTACAAGTTCACATTCTAGCCTATTTTTCCAATCCTCACTCTAACCTTTTTTCTTACTTTCAAAACCGGCTCCGAAAGCCTTGATTCTTATCAGTGATAAGAATATATTTTCTGACTAACAAAAGAGCTGGAAAATATAAAATGGAACTTCCACCACCATTATTCTTTCCATGGTGCCATAAAGTCTGGAGGAAACCTCACAGCTTGTTCACTCCAACCTTTTTCATTACTTTCAAAACTAGCTCCCAAAGCATTGTTTCTTATCAGAGATAAGAATGTGTTTTCTGACCAATGGAGAGGCCAAGAAATTTGTATAACAATTTTGGAGGAAAAAATCCTTCTTCTGAGCCTCCCAAATCTGCCTACATTTGGAGGATCTTGGCCTATTTGGCAGTGAGATTTCGACCACCGTCTGTGAGGTTGATGATAGGAAGCACCAGTCAACTTCAGAACCACTTTCAACCAAAGAAGAACTACCTACTAAAGGGCTGTCGAAAACGAACGTCGGCCCACTATTAAAGACTAGTTGAAAGCTGTCTTCCTTTCTCCTACAAGACTTTCTCGTCGACCTACGAACTCAGTCAACTGCAAGATTCCTATATCTACCAACATTTTCCTACTCTACGAGAACTGAAGAAAACTGTGAGTGTTTATAACCCTTAAACAACTCTTTAGGCGCTCAGAGAAATATTTTTAGCAAGCCTTTTTTCTGTTATGAACATTTTCTCTTCCCTAAAAGGACTTTCTCTTTTCTCTTTCTTTCTCTCCTAATTGTCTTTATCCCTTTACCCTTTTTTTCTGTATATGTAAATAAACACTTTCTTCTTTTATTGTTACTCACCGAGCAGGAATTTTTTCTTTATTCGTTCGCGCCTAAAAGAGAGAGTTTGTCCGCTCTTGTTGTTTTTCGCGATTTGTCGCATTTTTTTTAACCTCAACCCTTTGATGCGGGAAAGCCAGGACAAATTTCCCAGCACTATGCCAATAGTGTGGACTTTATTTTCTGGCACTATATGGGTAACTTTTCTTCATTTTATGTGGACTAGGGTTTTTATTTTGTTATGAGCGTGTTTTTGGGAGGCAAAATAGTGCAAACCACGGCATCTTCTGCATTCTTTGCTGTAAGCATAGCAGTCCTGTTTTCTTCCACCACGATCTTTTCCACACCTTGTATACTGTCTGGTACTTATAGCCACTTCATATGTTCCAGCTTTCCCTTCACTGACGATATTAAGTCAACCCCCCACCACGAGGGTGTCATGTGGCACAAGGCCTTTTTAACGTGGGCATTCCGAGCCCGTGGGCTCGGCCAAAAATATGCCCACTGAACCCGTATAAACGGGTTCAGGGCCGGTTTTACCTCCCCGAAGGAGACGCCGTCCTTCGGCGTAGCCTCCTTCGGGTTCCTCCCGTCCGTAGGAAGAGAGTACAACCGAACAGTCGGTTCAGAGTTAAACGACTGACTTTCCCTTCACTGACATCTTCATATGCTCTTATGATTTCTATAGTTTTCTTCAGTGTGAAATTTGGTTTGTTTATAAGGTTTGTTCTTTCATCTGCATACTTCAGTCTTTTTATCAGTTTTTTTCAGAATTCTTTCTTCTTTGTTTGTGCCAAAATCACATATTTCTGCTTTTGTCTGCAGTCTACCCAAATACTCATCAATTGTTTCCCTATTCTGTTGAAATGAAGTAAACTCTAACTGTTCGACCTATTTGGTTATTGTGTCATGAAGGTCTCGATACATTTTCTGATATTTCTTTTTGCTCAGTCGTTAGCTGTTCGTTTTTTGTTTGTTTGTTGTTTTTTTTACTATTTCCCCAGCTCCTTTGTCCCGTGCTCAGTAGAATGTAATTATGTTTTTGTTTTTTTTCTCTACGTTGTTGATAGTGAAATGTGAAGACAAAATCGACCCATTTGCTAAATGCTTCATTAGACCGGTCCAATGTTGGCAACGGGATGCTTGAAGTTGCCATTCTTTTTTCGTGCTTCTTTTACTTAAAATAAGAAAGCAAAATTCACGTATTCATTGTGATGTACTCACTTTTTTGTGGTATTTGTATTCGCACTTTATCTTTAAGTGTCGGTGTTTCCCTTTATATGGCTCATCTCTGCCACCATGTTATATTTCGTACTTGGGTTTGTTAATTTAACTCAGACACATGTATTTGTACAACTTGTTTATTCTGCCATTTTGGCTTCTACTGATGAAACAATTACAGGGACACAACTCTAACTTTCAACAGCTCATGTTGCAGATCCCCTCTAAAGTCTTTTTATTCTCTTACACTCAGTATCTCCTTGCGTCTTAGTGGCATCATTGCCTTGCTTGGGATGAATTGTTTTAAAAATAATCAATTTAAATTTAGAATAGAAAGAGTATGACTCTCTTTATCGAGATTTGGTGAAAGGTGGGTAAGAGTTTCGAACTTGGTGCAAGTGAGAGGGGCTGAACTTGAGTAATTGTTGGGTGCCC